AGCTGTGTAAACTCGTACCACCTCCGTCCGCAGGCCCATCAGCACGCCGAGAAAGGTAGAGCTAGGGAGTGAAAGGCGAGCCGGGGTTGCCCGGACATCACAAGGCAGACTTTCTCCAAGGGTCAAGGGGGCCTTAGAGAAGGCAACGGAAGACGCTGGGCCGATGGCCACTATCACTGCTTTTGACCCTCCCGTATTGCCATCCTCACTCTCCGTCTGAGGCTATAGGCCAACGTGCCGCACCAGAGGTGCATGCCGGCTCTGAGAGAGAGAGCATATAGGCAAGTGTTGCGTAGCAGTTAGGCCATGAAGTGGCAGAACTGGCGGATCTTCTGGTTCAGTGACTGAGTGGTTACTGCGCGCCCTCTGGCACTCACAATAGCTTTTCAAGTTCCTACCCGATTCCTAATCATTATGGAGCTACATACCTCTTCCCTGAAGAGCAGAATTTCTCCTATGCCGGCTCCGCTTCGGCCCATAGTCCGACATCCTCTCCGGCCCGCTTGGAAAGCGACGGTACCGAGACTCCCGAAGCCAGCTCGCAACAGGCTAGTACGCAGGAGCCGAGCAACACGTTTAGTTCTGCAACCGCTACCAAGTACGAGGTAGCAGAATCGAACCTGGCAGATGACGATATACCACTTAGTGAGTGGGAGGGTGGGATTGTGGAAGAAGTGGTCTACAATGGTATCCTGAAATACATGACTGTCTAGGCGCCGATTCTAGAACTCGGAGAAAACATTGGTCTCAAAATGGTGGAGGTGTGGGAAGCTAATAAGACTGCCATGTTAGTACTAAGAGGAGATAGTATATGCGGTTCTGGAACAAAGAAGCAGCGGGCTAGCGTCAGGAGTCCAGCAAGAGTGGAAAAAACAGGGTCAGATGAAGGAAGAAAAGGGTCGAAAAAGAACTAGAGGGCTCAAGAATAAGGTAGCAGTCCATATACTCCTGGTAGATCCAGTAGCTTCTAGCAAATTGGGACAAGAATCCAAGCCCTAGAAACGGACAAAAGTTCAAGTACGTTCCCCGTTAAAGAGCTGTCCTCCGAGGAAGGAGGCACTACTTGTGGTCGTGTGTAAACAAATTCACTGTGTAAATAGGACGTTGACGAGAGCTCAGGAGGAAGTTGACGGCAGTAAGTCGGGCACCCCCCATTCGGACCACTTGGCAAACCCCCACGGCTTTTTCAACCTAACCTCTTCAACGTACCACAACTTAGTCAATTCTTAGCCAAAAGAGTTTATTTTTTAAATCTATATTACCGTCAGTTTCAGATGGCTTATACTCAATAGGATTTGCATGATGCGATTGCAGAATGCTACCAAGGTGGTCGTTCGATACGAAGTATCAGCCGTGAGTTCAGTATCCCAAAGACTACCCTCCGGAGCCGAGTTCACGGTCAACAAACCCATTCAACTGCGACCGAACCGCAATAGACCATTAGTCGGGTACGGGAAGATCATTCAACGGCTTGGTTGTTGGAAGTGCTCGTACACGCGCAGTACAAAGGAAGGTCCCTGGTTCGCGCGCCTGGACCTCCTTCTTAGAGTGTGTACGGCGGTGCCCTGCTCAAACTCTGACAAAACCCAAAATTTTACTTCGCTCACACCGGCCGTAAATTTTTCATTATCCTCACTCTGCATTCCCCCGCTTCCTTGATTTTCCATCACTCAACCCGAATCTTCTCTTCGCAACGCCACAGCTTCCCAGCCACAACCCTTCCTCACGCGCAGACCTACCAAATCGCACTTGTTCAGGTCGCTGATACCTTTCCTGGTTTCACAAAAGCAGCGTACACTGTAGATCAACATCTTGAACTCCAGATTTACCACACTCATCTTGCTGCTGTCACATTCAGTTTTTGGCCGTCGTGGCGCTTGCTTTTGTCCAAGCTCATCAACAGGCGAACAAAATGGAGCTCAAGCAGGTTGACCAGGAAAAATTGAAAACTGCCCTCGAGTTAACAACCTGGATTGTGAACCAGCTGCGTCAGAAGCGCTACAACAAGGTAGCCGCTTACCTAGCAACCCACCAAGTATGTCCACCTGTCCCAGTGCAGATAACTATTCATTTGTAGTAACGTGTCTAGGTTGTCCAACGTCTTTTCGAGCCTGCGGTCTATTTCTCTCATACCCAAATGGTCAAGGCTTCCTGGGACCTGGACCGACCTGAGCGCGCGATGGCTATGGCCGTTTACATTTTTGAGGTAGACGTGAAGGAGAATCCAAGTTGCAAGCAATGTAAAAAAGACATTGGGCCTACCCCTGCTCCCAAGTGTCTTGCGCCTAGCAACAATATCTTGGGCGGAGCATGTACAAATTGCTTTTATTCTGGTCATCGTACCCAATGCAGCTTTGTTCGAGGTAAGTGATTCCTAACTATATCTTTCACATTTTAACCTGTATTGGCCTGAGTTGTAGAGGAAGAGCAGCGGCAGGCACAGGAAGAGAGAAAGGGGAAGGGGGCACTTCAGATGCTGACACCGGTGCTGCTTCAGAAGCTGTCTTGTGCTGAACTTGAGGTACTGCAGCGTCTCATCCTTGATGCGATTGAGCGCCGACGAGACTTGTTCAAGAGCCGCCATCAGCCCCAGAGTAGGCAGCAAGAGCACAAGCGTCTAACGGGAGTGTAAGGGCAGTGCCTGGGACGCAGAGAGATCATGAAGTGTCCATTGTTTTCGCCGCCGTAAAAACAGGACACATGCAGGAAATTCTGTCAGAAGGGGGTGCAACAGCTAGCGAAGCAGGTAATATTCCCTATGGCGTTGCCATTCTGGTTCTGTTGGAACGTCGCGGCACTGGAAACTCGGAAGCTCAGCTACCAGTGCCCTGCTGTTGGATGCATGGCTGCCCGATGTGAGCCGATTGAGCGTCAAGCAGCCTCAGGGGAAACCAGGAACTGGGCAACGAGCTAACGTTACTAACGTTACACAAGATCAGGGCGATTTTCCCCGCTGGAGAGAAGGAAGATCAACACTTCCAAAAACATCCAATCAATCACTTCTTGGTAGTTTGGAGCAGCCCAAACTCACTGTCGTAAGCCCTCATTAGTGTGACAACTGTGAATTGTGGCTGGTGGTCTTCTAACAGGTTCTTCGTGGACAGGAGTGGAAGGTGGATGGTTGAGACCAAGTGGGTTCTGTTGGGTTCCAGACCCACAAAATTCAGCGGGCTCGGCGGAGGTACTGTACGGATTATGCACCCCGTTTTACCGCGCACCTCGGCCTTCGGAGGAACTGAAAACGCAGCCATATGTGACACAGCACTGCCATTGTCCTTACACAAAGGATCCTGTGCAAACGTCCGCGATCAAGCCTAACCTCATGCCTCAGCCAAAGAGGACCCTCTCCCCCTTAAGGGACATCATCCTCGCAGCCTACCGCGAGCAGACCTCTGTTAACGACATCGTTGCCTTGCTGAAAGACAAATTCGATTTAGACATCACTGATCGGACTTTGTATCGCCGCCTCAAGGAGTGGAATGAACCTCTTCACCAGCAACGTACTGCAGATACAGGTCAGCTTCGTTCTATCATCGAGGATGAGTTTTACACACGAGGGTCGTCAGATACCGAAATCCTACGCTATGTCCGTTCGCTAGGCTTGCCTCTTTCCAAGGCTGGCTTGGAACGCATTCGCAAGGACATGGGGATTTTTCGTCGACGTACTCCAGCCCAACTTGAAGCACAGCTCCTCCAAGTGGTTGACTTTATGGAAACACCTTCTCTTTCTTCTATTCTCATTCCCCGTCTCGGACGCCGGTCTCTTTGGAAACACGTTCTTCAAGTCGCCCACATCCCTGTTTCGGAGAGAGCTCTCTACGAAACCTTCAGCCAGCTATACCCCGAAGAAGTCGCACGACGATGGCAGCATATGCGTGGAAAGCGTGGAGGATTCACAGTACCTGGGCCCAACTATACGTGGTCAATCGATGCGTACTGCAAACTCCAGGATTTCGGCTTTGAAGTGTATGCAGGCATTGATGCTTATTCACGCTACATTGTCTGGTGCTACGTTGGCATCTCAGCTCTTACTGCCCGCTCGATTTTCGCGCAGTACCTTTGGGTCGTTTCCCAGTACGGATTTCTGCCGATGGTCATACGTGCAGATCGGGGAAAGGAGACAACCATGGTTGCTGCAGCACACTTTTGGCTCTCCCTCGGGACAACCTCACTTCGCCGACTTCGTCCTCGCCGAAACAGGGAGGGGGGCATCGACTGGTATATGCCAGCGGGTGGTGGTCAGCCAGATGTTCGGGTTGACCTTGGAGTGATGGATCCAGATGCGCCGCTTTTTGGCCCAGAAAGACCGTTCCAGTTCTCGGACTGTTGGGTCTATGGCAAGAGTACCAAGAACCAAAGGATCGAGGCTTGGTGGTCTCAATTTGCAAGGGGACGGTCGACATATTGGGTTGTAAGTTTACCTCATATCTGAACCATTGTTTCCTATTTACTAACCTGCAAAATAATGTCAATAGGAGTGGTTCAAGCAGCTCCGACAAGAAGATTTGTGGTCAAGGGATCGCTTGGCTGATCGGATTGCATTACTCTGGACCTATATGCGAGAATTATCAATGGTAACTAATTCTCTTGCTCTCGATTGCCCCAGCCTCCTTTCTTACGTCCGGCGCTTCTTAATCGGACATCTCCAGCAGACCGCTTGTTTTTAATCTCATCCTTCACCATTTGTGCCCATTCCTCGAGCAGCTCCTCTGGGAGCTCGTCAAGCTGGTCCGAAGTGTACATCTCGAACCTCTCCTTCTCTTTCTTGGCGGACTCCTCGACCTGTTCCTGCTTTGCCGCTGTTTAGGTTAGCCTGAGACAAACCCACAAATAAGGAGAATAACATACCAATACGAAGGCTGCACGCGGTGCTCTGCCCAGAATAATAGCAATTGGTGCATGCTCCAGCACCGTGCTTAGTGGTAGGGACACGGCAGTCGGAAGCAGGGCCACGGGACTGAAAACTGTTGCATTGCTTGCACTTGGGGTTCTGGTCTTGCGTCGGAGTAAAGATGTAAACAGCAAGAGATGTCGCACGAGTCTGGGTATCGAACTTCGGCTTAGCAGTCGTCGCCTCGCCCTGGATGAAGTACTCGCGCGGGGTAAAAAGACGCTGGACAGCCTAGCGATAACTATATGAATGAAACATGTTTGGTGTGTTGCTTTTGGATGGGTGATCATAAGGTACCTTGTTCTCATGTAGAATCTTAGCGACTGGAGCAAAGCGGCACTGACAGAGCTCGTTCACAATCCAGGCCGTATACTCAAGGTCGGTCGTACACTTCTCATAGCTCTCCTGAGTTAGCTTGAGCTGGCTGTCCTTCCAGGTAAATGAAGACAGCACAGCTGGCATGACGACAGGGGTGGGAAATAGACCGTAGTAACATCAAGCGAAAGAACAGGGTTGGGACGTAGAACAGGCAGGCAGATAAAGCGTTAACGTACAACGGAACTTTGTGGTATTGCGAAACGTGTGGCGTTTTGGGAAAGAAACCCCGATTTGGGAATGAGCAATAAAATATCGGGGGGATTGGATTTAAACCGATAGGTTAAATCCACATGGGTGTGCACGCAGTGATGAATTTTGAATTTTGTCAGAGTTTGAGCAGGGCACCTCCATAGTGTGTCTCCGCGACAGGGGTAGCACTCCCACCAGCTGTCATTTTCAAGGGCAAGAGCGTTCAACAACAGTGGTTCCCTATCGCCAAGAATGAATTGAAGGATTGGCTATCCACTGCAACCGACAAAGGCTGGGTGAATAGGGCGGTTGCGTTGGAATGGCTTCAACGGGTCTTCATCCCTCGGACCCAGCCGCAGGATCCTTCCAGAGGCGGCTGTTGATACTGGACGGTCATGACAGCCATACAAGCACTGAGTTTATGCGGGAGTGCTTCAGCAACAGTATCCAGTTGCTCTTTTTTACCAGCTCATACCTCCCACGTTCTCCAGCCATTGGATTTATCAGTCTTCTCCCCCCTGAAGCACACCTACCGCAAGCTCCTCAACCAAATGACCAGCTGGTCTGAATCAACGGTCTTAGGTAAGCAGATGATGTTGAAGTGCCATGTGACGGCCCGTCGGGAGGCAATCACTGCTCATAAAATCAAAGCCGGGTGGAGGGTAGCTGGGTTATGGCCCGTCAGTATGGCCAAACCTCTGATGAGCCGTCTCTTGCTCAAGAATTCGAACCAGGAACCCGGCATTGATGATCAACTACTTCTACCACAGACTCCAATATCCAGGTCAACTAGCCAGTCTATTACTATCTTGAATTCACGACTCCATGGAAGAAGACAGACCTTCGGGGCCACCTAAACAAACCCTGTCCGTACTGTACTTTCCAGGTAAGGTTTCTGACTCGCTGGGATTTCTCCCCAGAGCTCCAATCGGGTTTTCCGTCCAGTGATTTGCTTTCGTTCTTGCCTGCCCGGGCCCCCACCAACAAGCCCAGGGCAGCAAAGGCCTTTGTCCACCAAATCCAACGTCCACCTATGGTGAGAACCACCTGGCTTGGCCATCCGACGACAAGAGATCTCTACCCGGCGGCTCTTGTTCAAGAAGGTTGAAAAGGCTTTTGACGAGAAGGACTTTGAATTGGCTTGGCTACGGCAAAAAACGAAGCTCTGAAGGCCCAATTGGAGGCAGCCCGGCCGTCACGAAGGAAGAGGGTGCTCCCTGATCCCAACACTCAGTTCGCTTCAATCGAACACATCCACCCGGCTCAAATTGATGCGGGCCGTATATAGAACTCTGTAGTTGAAGAGAGCGGGTCAGAAAGTGCAGAATCGGATGCTTCTTGTATTGTGGTGGGTTAAGACAGACTGCAATATATGGTGTTGAAGAAGATAGGTGTGTTTGCCGGCCAAGATTTGCCAAGTGGTCCGAATGGGGGCTGCCCGACTTATCACCGTAGAATCGTGGCTGTTGGTCTTCCAACACCATCCAAGACAGGAACTCGATAGAACTCGTTTTCGTCATAATTCTGAATTAGTAGAAAGACCGGTGCACCAAATTTACGTTTGTTAAAATCTACAGGCCGTTTTTGTTTTCTGTTAACATCTATGAGTTGTGTCGCATACGATGGTTTCCTTCGGATACTCCAGTAAATATAACCTTCACCGTGGCTTCAGAAGAATTGTGTAAACGCAAGCAATCCCTTGCTGTCGCCATAGCACTTTCGTGGGACGAGAGCGGGGTCACTGTTCAATGCCCGTTCTACGACGAAGCACACTCTCATGGAATCGAGCACTTCGCTCGCGGTGAATATTCCGGAAGACGGATCCAGCACGCCCATGGACGGTACAAATATCGTGGACCTTCGCCGTCTCGTTGCGAGTCACCCGCACTGTCGCTCCCAAATTCCTGTCCGCCCGGATTATTACAGTCTTTTTTCCACTCGAAAACGACGATCGCGTGACTGGCCTGTCTCTCGAGGTTGAGGACCTGAGCGACCATGAAGAGCGAATTCATCGTTTCCGCACAGTTGGTTTGGACAATCCACAACGACGCGTCGACCAGATAGTTGAAGATAAAGCTGTACGCGAGATGCGTATACGCTTCCAGAGGCTTAGTATGACAGAAGGGGACTATATGATCACCATGGAGCTGTCGCTTCCGGGAGACTCGGAGAAAAAAAACTCGTCCAATCAGCATCAGAATTCGTCCTCGCCGTTTCCGTCAATGGGAAAGTTGATAAGATGAAGGCGTTATTGTCCCGTTCTCCAGTCCCACAAGCACTGCTTCAGGCACGAACGGAGGACGGGGAGTCGCTGCTGGCCCTCGCCGCCTGCGAAGGGCATCAGGAGATGGTCAAATACCTGCTGAGTCAGGGGCTTGACGTCGACGCCGTCGACGCCAAAGGGCGTACACCACTCATGGAGGCTGCTCTCTGAGTTCGCCCAGCCGTAGTGGAAAGGCTTCTCCGGGCTGATGCCGACCGCACCGCAAGAGACAAGGCTGGAATGACGCCCGGTCACTTGGCCGAACAGTCCGACGCAAACGATAAGGAGCGATACAGGCGGTGTCCCATATACTCCGAGAACCCATCCGTCGTGGAACGAGACCGAAAGCTGATTAGGGGTTTGCTCGGACACAAAACAACTACAGCTTCAGGCTGGAAGCCCAAGGCCATTCCCCTCGAGGATCTGACTGATGCCTTCTTCTACAAGTCGGCAACAGCGGACACAATATCCCTGGTTATCCCCGTCAGTGGAATTCACATCTCCAGGTCGACCAGAACCGCCGCCTTTCTCTATCGCCGAAGCCCCTTCCCCGTCGTCTCCTCGCTAAGCGGCCGCAGTGGGCCTCATGAAGAGGAGTTCCTTGAACCCGGCGATAGCTTTGAAAGATTGAATCCCCGGTTCTGGATGCCCCAGACCATCCGATTCGCAAGCGAATTCGGCTTCGCGTTTGAGAGCCACGACAACGATGCGCCCGCTACACCGGGGAGCTACTACGCCGGTCATGACGAGGCCATGTTCATATGCTTCTTGGTCCAATGGAATTATCTTTTCCGGGACTGTGAGCTTGTGACCGGGGAGATTGTCAACGATTTATCCGAGCTGGAGATCGCTGTGGAATATGACTTCCTACAACTCTTTCTACTTCAACCGAGAAATCGGTACGCTAGGATCTTTGTATATAACCCAACGCCAACTCCAAGTGCTTGCTTCTTATCACATAGGCTCTCTGATAAGAAAAGAGCATTTCCCATGCCTCAGCCTAATCCTCTGACAAGTTATTTTCGCATTACAAAACCCACTTCCTTCTAGGCATGGTTAGCAACTTCCAGCAGCCGGCCACGAAACCAGACCGGGCCGGCCGCCGGGATGCAACCGGACTCGAGACGGACAGACCCACACTTGCCGACCGCCAAACCGGCGACCGAGCGAAAGGCCGGCCGTTCCACCCGGTCTTCCCCAATCAGGTCTTAACGGTCCCTTATAGAGCGTTCGATGCCGCGAGTGAAACAAGAGTATGTTCGAGAATATAGGCCCCGGCCAAGTCTCAACTGACTTTACACCTCTGGACATGCCGTACTTAATAGTCTGTGATACCCATACAAGACCCGCGCAAGCGTCTTTGGTAAGACTCTGAATTCAACCATCTCCAGGATATTAGGGTTAAAGTAACAACTTTACTCCTCTCAACATGGACTCGTCCTCACAGCGCCGCAGCGCTGCAACCAGGCCGGCGCAAAGACCTATACAATGCAACTCAGCCCAACAATCTCAGACTGCCACCAGAAGGACATCACAGAGGGCTGTACCAGGCCCCAGTGCTAAGCCGGTGCAGGTAACCGGTATGTTGTGCATATCGTCAAGAAGACAGTGTGGGCTCGAGTCCTGACCGGCGCCACAAAAGCCGCGAAGCCTGCCAACTGGAAGCACCCTGGCAATGCGGTCAAGCGACTCATTCCGCATGCAGCCAATGTTGGCAAGGACAGCCCGGGGTTCAACCTAAGCTACTACAGAAAGACATTCTTCATCCTGGACAAGCAGACACAGTTCGATCTCTACATGGCGGGCCTAGCTCCTAAGATGACCAAGCGAGAAGTTGACAAACTGCGATCCTCCGGTTTTGGAATCAGTCGGCAGTACAAGCGGGAGACCGTCATGTACGACGTCCATATCTCACCAAGCGGATACGAAGCTCCCCTAAAGGACATCGTGGCCGAGGCCAAGGCTGCAAAGCTCAGAGCGGCTGCAGCAGCAAAGAAGCAAGCTGCCAACCCAGACGCCCTGCCCGCTCATCCCACCCCAGCAAAGTACACCAAACTCCAAGCCCAAACAAAGCCAACCAAACCACAACAGCAGGAAGCACAAGCCTAACAACAGCAGGAATTCACGCAGAACCAGCAAAAACAACAATTGTCGCAAGCCAAACCCCAAACCTGTCTGTCGACGCAACCCCTTCCACCTCGCCAGTCCCAAATTGGGATCGCAATCTCCTACCCACCACCGAGCACTATCCCGCAGTCCAAACGCGCTCGCAAAAACAACCAACCAGACAGTGCCGCTTCATCCAATATTAGCGGCCGCGGCCGCAGCAATGTAATTACAAGGCGTACCATCCAAAATCAGCAGGCTTAGGGTCGCTATGCCCAGCTTCAGCAGCAGCGAAATTCAACCGTCATGACTTAGGGTCAGGGTGTTGTAGGTGTGGATTTGTGTACGGATCAATAAGGTGTCAAGACTTCGGTCTCACGGCCCTATGCACTATGGTGATATACTGAGGAGGTATCAAATGACCACTGCGCAGTAGATATTTCCGGCTCGAATCAACCTTTCTTGACTCGTGCAGTTAAGCGTCACACAGTATGGGCAGACTCTGGGCTGGTTGCCGTGTAGAACGGCCGTCCGGCCGAACCAAACATTTTCTCGACTGGGCGGGAGTGTATTAGTGAATTGGATTGGCGCCTTGTCTCTCGGAGCGCGGTGGCCACTCACCGTTCGGGTTGTGGAAGCTCAAGAACCGGAAGCTATTGGGGTAGTGGAATACTTCGCCATCGCCAAGTAGATGCGGCAAGTCCGTGGGCGCGAGAAGGCGGGAAAGTGAAGAAGGTATCAGGCACTAGGAAATGTCAATGTGCGATGTTGGCGAGGTGAGAGGGTTCAGGTATAGCACTTACAGAGCTGGTTAGAACAGTGCACCTGTTCCGACTTCTCAAGATAAGATGGAATTTGTCTTGCTGACTGCGGGTTATTAAGAGTTCTGCATCAGAGATGATGGCGACTTCGTATCGAACCTGGGTGGCTTGCCTGATTTCCCTGTGACGGGAGTAAGAAGTATGCTCACAGATGTAAGACAACTGTCTTGTCTGGCCTGGGATGCTGTAGACCTGTGATGAAGAGCTCTCTTCGTATGTCCTTGCAATATATATTATTATTATTCCTACACCGCTGTGCCCTAGGGCGTGCCGGACCTTCAACAACTTACTATACAGGAAAACCGCGCCCTCGTGGGCCGGGTGAAAAACCCATATCGACAATCAAGGAAACGATCAGTGTGCGATCCTGCAAATACAAAGTGGGAAGGCCTCTTGGCCTTCGAAGGAAAGGGTATCAGACTGCGAGCTCCAGCTCCAGCCTCCTGGCCAGACCGTACATCGGCAGTTTCCCCGAGTCCATCAGCCAGTCCAGGATCCTCCCCGTTAGCCGTGCAGCTTTGGGACTGATTCCCTGTAGGACAGAATAAAAGTCCCTTCGCGTTCTGATTTCGGCTCTCTCCCATCTTCGAGTCAACGGTGGGGCCAAGCACCACATCACAAGGTGTTCGACAGTCTCTCGCCCCTCTCCACACTCGCATATAGGCGTCAGTACCTCTGGGACTCTCCTTTCGAATAAGAAAGCCTGAAGGCCTATGGCCCCGGTTCGAATCTGGATCAACAGTGAACTCTTCGCTCTGCTGAGGCCGTCGTGTCTCCTTAGGGTTTCCTTGCAATATATAGCGAGGGACGAGACGCTGTAATATATTAGTCAATTCTGCTAATCGGTAGGTGAAGCGAAGAGGGAAAACTGGAAAGTACGAGCGTAGGCATCGCGTGGAATCTCATTCGTAGGCTAATCTCAATGTGAAAGTGCACCTGTAACCCAACCCTGGTGCACCTTCCGTCACAATACCCTATCCAAGCTATCTTACTAAAGGGGAATACATCCATCCATCCATCCATCCATCCATTCACCATTCCACGAGGGCAACAGTAATACAGAACCTAGAATCCATCAATTACGATATCCCTTATTCCCTTCCTAAGCGCCGCCAAAGACCAAAAGGCTCTGAACATTGACTCCTCCAAAGCCATGCCGGCGCAGCATTTCCCGGCCGCGGTGAACAGGGAACTCAGCCACGACTATGACGCTCACATGTTCAGAGTCAATGCCAGCCTGACCCAACAGCCGCAGGACTGCACAAAGCGTCCGCCCCGTAGCAAGAACATCATCTACCACCAGCACGGCCGCGCCCTTAGGAACCGCGTCCCGGCCCACCTCGATGCTCGCCTTCGAGTCAAGGTTGGATGCCGAAGACGAGATATGCGACGGGGCCTTGACGACGGACACGGTGGGCGGGGGCAACTTGCCTGCCTCGCGGATCAACGCCAAGGGCACGTCGACCCGCGCGGCGAGCGCCGACGCATAGATGAAGCCACCGGCCTCACAGCATGCCATTACGTCGACCTCGTCCCACCGGCCGGAGAAGTGACGTTCCAGCAGGGCCACGCACAGGCCCAGCCCGCCCGGTTGCTGGGAGATACCGAGCACGTGGCGGAAATCTATGCCTGAGCGCGGAAAGTTCGGAACCGGGCGGACCATAGCCGCTAGCCGCTGCAAGTCCTCGTGGAGGAAGGGCAGCAGGTGGTGCTCGGCAAAGCCTCTAGCCGCTTCGTCTCCGGTTGCGTCATTGTCAAAGACGAGGTTAGGGCGGTAGTTCAGAGGCGTTGGGTCCGCCTCACCGCAGTCGCGCGCCTGGCGAGCTGCACGCGTTCTGTCGCTGGCTTGAACGTACACCTCGAGCAGTCTCCTCTCAGGCACCAAGGGCGACAGAGCCGCGATCGGCGCCTTGTCTCTCATGCCCGTGATGAGCAGCACGTCCACATCCACGGCGCCGTACACCACCTCCAGAAAATGCTCCTCTGGCAGCCGTGGCCGTTGCTGCACCTGGTTCTGGAAAAAGGCCGTCAATGCCGGCCGGTGTTGCTCCTTGTAGGTACGGTCCTGTAACAGACGGTTCAGGTCCGCGCCAGTAGCTGCCGCATACTCGCGCTTAGTCGCTTCGCTGATACTTACGGCGCGCGCCTTGAAACGTCTGTTGGTAAACACGGAGACCCAGACGTCGGCGCAGTAGTCCTTTCCGGCACCGCTCTCGCCCGTGACAACAACTATGAGCTTAGGCTCCATCGGTGCCCGCGGTAGCGGGCAGGCGTACGACAGTACATTACGTGGGTCCCAGCAACCACGTTTGAGACGAACTAGGCGCGGTAAGTTTGGGCCGAACGCCCTGGCGGCCAGCGCGGCGTCTCGGGGGTTTGGTCCGAGGTCGGCGCCGTACGCTCCGCGGCTCACGGGCAGCAGCTCCCCAGCGACCTTGTAGACCCAGTTCACCGCGGCTTGAGCGGCCTCGGCCCCGTCCTGTTCACGGGGCCACACACCTGTCACCACACATGCGAAATCCCAGTCTCGGCAGCCAAATGCGGTGGCGTCTGCCGCCACATCGCCGATCGCTCCGCTGCCATGGACCAGATGGAGATAGCACAGAGGTGTAGGCCGCGTTTGCACAGCCACCGTCAGAATGTTGGCGATGTTAGCCCCCCCGATGCCCTTCAGGAATAAACACCGCTTGAAAGAGGACGTCTTGCCGCCTCCGTGCCCGCCATGCTTCCTGGATGTGTACATATTAGCGTCGAACACTCCGACGGCGTCCACCGTCTGAGAACTTGATTGTGGACCCAGAATTGCAAAGACGTTTGCGGGCGCAGGCGGCTGTGTCTTATGGTTGAACCCCGCCGTAGAGGTCTCGAACATAGTCACGCCGAGACGCAAGCTCCCGTCGTCCCAGTACAGATATGCGTCGGCAGAGCAGTCCCGGGGTAGTTGGTCGGCCACCAATCTGTCAAAGTCGCCGAGCTTGCGCCGTGCCTCAAGGTGGTCGTTCAGAGTGACAACCCAGTTTTGAACCAAGTAGGTCCGGGCTGCGAATGCCTTGAAGGTAACGCTGACAACGATGCCAAAGTTGGTACCCGCCCCCTTTATGGCCCACAACAGCTCGGTGTCGCTCAGGCGCACCGCGCCGGTCGGCCGATGCTGGCTCGGCACACAGCCGACGGTGACAACCTCGGCGGAAGCGACGCTAACCACCACGGCACCGACAATAGCATCGCACGCGAGCCCGTGGAGCCTGGCCAGGTGCCCAATGCCGCCTTGCAGCCACGACCCTGCGCCCACGCTGGGGCAGGCCCCCAGTGGCACGGTGAGGCCCGCCGCCAAGGCTTTGCGGATGATGTCGCCCGTCTTGCAACCAGCCCCGGCGACGATCAACGGGCTGGAATCCGAATCCTCCCCGACCGGGAGGATATGCAACTGGTCAAACGCGCCCATGTCGACACCAACGACATTCGGCCGGAGACAGTGGCCGCTGTGGCCCCCGCCGATGACGCTCAAACCAACGCCGTGCCTCAGTGCCCACCGGACGCACGCCTGGACGTGCCCAACCTCTACCGGCCTTGTGATTGCGGCACAACGGTGGAGGCGGGCCTCTCTGTTCTTGACTATCCCGTCGCCATCTATGTTCAGCACGGGGACCTCGGTTGAAAGCTCCGGCAACGCAGTCGTCGCATTCCGGTTGAATGCCACCATGAAGGTAGGCGCGCTGAACAAGAGATGGGTCTGGTGGGCGGCTGCCTCGCGGCGATGGCGGCCCAGGGCGCGGCAAGCGTCGCGCCACTCCGCTCGGGTTGCGGCGTCTGGTGCGGCGAAACCGGCAACAAAAGCGGCGAATCGGCCGAGTACCTCGTCGTCGTCCGCCACACTAACTACACCATCGGGGAATGACGCCGTTTGCTGGCATACGAGGCCGTCCAGGTAGAGACGTTCGCGGTGAAAGACCACCACCAAAGCCCCTTGTGGCTGATCAACAAGCGTGTCCAGCGCTCGTCGGATAAGGCTGTGCTTGGGCTTCATGCCGTACACGCTGTGGCAGAAGAGGATGGCATCAAACTTCTCGTCGCCGCCAGCCTGGCCCGTAGCGGCATCTTCCGAGTCCGCAACGAACGGGGCCCGATGGATATCGGGTGGGCTTTCCAGACAGGGTAGCGGAAGCGCTGCCTCGGTGGTGGGGCAGAGCCATTCTTCTAGTCTTGTAGCGAACAAGGTGTTGGGCTCGAGTGCCGTGTACTTTGTGATCTTCCGTCTCAGGCGGTCGGGCAGATATCCTAGTACTGTCTTTGGGCCCGGTCCGACCTCCAGCATCGAGACACCCAACCGAGAGTCAAAGAGGGGCGCTAGCAGTTGGGATAACTGGGGAATGATGAAGTCCTCGTAGCTTGTCCATTCTAGGCCTTGTTCCAGGATATCAAAGCCAGCACTGTACTCTTCGTCGGACAGCGATTGATGGTGAGACAGCGCTGTGGCCGTGACTTTGCCCCTGAGGGCCAACTTCAGGGAGTTAAGAGTGATCATTGAGCTGATCTCAATCTTGGCGTGGAAGCGGGTGATTTTTTGTTGCAATTTAAAGAGGTGCTCACAGGGAATCAGTGAATTGCTGGCCTTCAGACGAGTACAGCTTCAAAGGTATATAGTGCCGTTGAAAACGAGAACGGTCATCAAGTTTGTGTTGGTCAAGCCTTGGCAATGCAAGTGGCCTCCACGTGTGCGAGACAAACACCACGCCCAACACGCGGGACAGTCTATGACAACGAAACAAAGTGAGGGGTTGTGGGCATCGTCGCGTTTCAACTAAATGAATTGGGTGCTCTGTGTTGAGGCCTACTGCAGAATTTTCTGCATCAATCTCGGGCCTCCTTCGATGGAGTGGTCGGCAAGGGTAACAACATGATTTAGGTCATCCCAAGTGCAGGCAACCGCCCGTAGTGACTCATTCCAAACGCTATAGGGGCGGGTCCCTCCCTTTTTATAAACCGGCGCTGACGTGGAAGGCTTTGACCAGCTTCTTACCACGAAGGTGTCGACCGTCAAGCTGGTGTAAGATGTCGCCTACAACCTCCGCCGACAGCGAGAAAACTCTTCAGCACGGTGATACTGCGGATTCAGGGAAGGAGGGGAGGGAGAGGAAGCAGAACAAGGAGAGTATTGGTGTTGGGGACAACGGAAGGCAGCGGCCCGATAAGATGACCAATGTCGCCAGAGACCATGGGGATGAGCCAAACTCCGCGGGGTCGAGGCAGGAGCCACGACCAGATGGGAAGGGGGCCACAATACCTACTCCAATGACAGACCTTGATGGCTTGAAGCGACCAGGTATGTGTTTTGAAACTTGGTTCGTCTCATCTATGTGCCACACAGACTCATTTGTCCTCTGTTAGGCATTGGCACGCGAGCACGACTCGAAGAGTCTTCTGAGCAATCAGTGGAACGACTCAACAAGATGCACAATGCAGTCAGAACCATTCTCGAATGTGTCGGCGAGGACCCGACTCGACCAGGCCTCCTTGACACTCCCAAGCGATACGCTAAGGCGCTCATGTTTTTTACAAAAGGCTACGGGGAAAACATCGGAGACATCGTCAATAACGCCATCTTTCATGAAGAGCACAGTGAGATGGTAGTTGTTAAGGATATCGAAATCTTCAGCATGTGTGAGCACCATATGGTGCCGTTCATAGGGAAGATGCACATCGGCTACATCCCTTACCACTCCGTCATTGGCCTCTCGAAACTGGCAAGGATCGCCGAAATGTTCAGTCGTCGCCTCCAGATTCAAGAGAGGCTGACCAAGGAGGTCGCGAACGCCCTCATGGAAGTGCTCCATCCACAGGGCGTCGCCGTGGTCATGGAATCCAGTCATCTATGCATGGTCATGCGGGGTGTGGGAAAGTCAACAGCGGTAACCATCACTAGCTGCGTGGTGGGTTGTTTCGAGACGAACGAGAAGACGAGGGGTGAGTTCCTGAGTTTGGTGGGCGTTAACAAGTAAAGACAGAGACCGCGGCGCATTTGCCAAGTTCAGGTTCAATTTCCCTTTTCATCCTTGTTGTTCCGCTTTACGCAACGGTTGTATATAGCCTACCCAGCCGCGCATACAAACAGGGATACCTGCCACACTGCCCACTGCAAGATTGGCCACCAACACCGGATGGCGGAAATACGACGGCTTAGAAAAAGTTCACTTCGAGACTGTGTGTTCCATCGCGGACGGCGTCGACGTGACAGTCAAGGAAACATCATGCAAAGCCAGCTTGCACCCATAACTACAGGCGTTGCAGGTTTTTTGGTCATCCATGTAAAGCCCCGCATAGTACATACCGATATTCCAACAGGCGCGGGTAACAATGGAAGAAGCCTGAGGATAGCAACCATCATGAATCTCCTTCGATGGATCAATAGAACTCTCTCCAATATAAGAATTGAGCTCTATTGTTGTAACTATATAGTGTCCTCTACTCATGCAATTATACTACCTCTCCAAAATGGGAACGCATCGAGTTCAGGGTGAAAATAGTAGAGTAGAAACACCTGGCTAGAAACAATCTTCGTTAACGTACTAAAAGACGAGGAAAAACCATATCGCTGAACACCCTAAGCATCCTAACGTGTCGCTCTCCAAGTAGGGGTAGCCAATATGTTCTGAACAAACGTCTCCCAAGACTTACTCTACAAGTCAAAATCAACGCAAACAAGGAACTACCGTATAATAGGGCCACCGTTAACTGTCATCCCCCAGCCCGACTCCCGTCGAACTGCCTTTGATTGACGACTTTGGGCTGCCCCCGGGTACCGAGAAACCTCTTGTAAGCTCGTACCAAGCGTGCCACTATGTACTTATGGCTGTTGGACTTCTAACACCTCTAAACCAACTATAACCGGCACCTCACCAAAGAACCAACCTCAGCTCAGCCATCGTGTCTCATATCATTCATTCCCCAGAGATGTCAACGTCCATTTCGTCCAGCTCATTTCCCTTAGGGTCTCCAAATGGCGTCCTTCTTTCCACGTCAGTTTCCCTGTCGCCGCCTCGGTTACTGACATCCTGCATTTCCACGTCGGGTTCCCGCTCGTCATTGATGCTTAAATTGGCTATCCCAACAGTTATCTTCCCGACTTTACCGCTCATGCCAGAGTCGAACAAATGGATAGATCCTCTATTGGTCCATTGCCAAGAAGAGTCTAGACCACCTGAACCAATGTCAAACTGGTGCTCTTGCATTATCACACTGCTGATAGCCGCCATCTCCCATGTCCCAGTAACATAATCCCCATGCCCATCGTGTTCACGAGTCGCCGGACCCCGGCAAATTGGGCCCCGGAGGAGAACCGCAACAAGGCTAACTCGATCGAGTACTACACCTACAACAGCCAGACCAACCCCCGCAACGTGCTGCAAAGTTCAGCTCCCGTTTCTGAGACGATTAAGTACAACAGCGTCCACGCCAACCCCTACTACAGCGTCGACATCAAGAAGGCGTTTTCGGAGCTGTAGAGGAACCGGGCGGCCTCGCACAGGACGCGTGCTGGGACGTCTAAGTAGCCCGACCACATTCCCAGGAGCTCAGGTAGCGCTCGTCTTGGTCCTGCCTGCGTGAATCAGACAATCGTCACAGCCTCGATTTGCGCATCTTTCCACATGTGCTCCTTAGTAGAATCCCCGACTAACCTCGAAACGACCCCAAATCCGACCCGCTCATACGCACCATTTATTATACGAGACGGCGTCAAAACCATAAACCAATCTGCGCCTGAATTTCCGCCTCCTGCCGCTTCGAGACAAGTGTAGAAGCCGCCGGGATGCAGCTCGTCCGGGCGGTCGGCATAGAAGCCCACCATTGAGCCGGACGGCAGCAGTGTAAGGCCAGCGAGGATATTCCCCGGCTGTGGGACCCCGCGTAACGTATGACCGTGCGAGACACGGCTCTCGAGCACAAGCTGCCCCCCGCTAATCTTGCCGGTTGGATCCGAAGTCGCCAGGTTGACTGATGCCTCCCGAATAGTGAACAACGGGTCCAAGCCGTCCTCCTGTTCCTCCCACGCGTGGCTGATCACCCCGTTGACCGAGGCCCAGCTCCACGTAGGAATGCCGCATTCGACCGGGTAGGGCGCAAGGCGGGGGCGCCCGACGTACGGACCGATGAGCCACAGCAGCTGCTGCGCGAGGTCCCGCCGCCACATGCCCGCGAGGTACTCATCCGACACGCCGAACCGCGCCTGCAGGCACCGCTGGAACTGCTGCGCGATGCCCGAGAGCGCGGGGAGCTTGTCGCTCAACACGGTGAGCTTCCCCGCGCTAAAGAGGGACACGACAGCCGCCCATCTCTTGTACGCCTGGCCGAGCGTGAGGGACTTGCACCGCCCGGGGTCCCTCAGCCAGCCGAAGGACCCGATGTTCGCTTCCCGAACGGGATCAAAATGACTATCCCCGTTGTCGGGGTCATCCGCGAGCTCCCCGTCTTTCGCGTCGTTGGCCCGCCCGCACTCGCACGCCCAGCAGCTGTCGCACTCCCACCAGAGCTCCTGCGGGGTGTAGTAGAGCACGCGCCGCGATAGGACACGTTCTTGCACCGTCCAGGCCCGTCGTGCGAGGGGCAGCTCCTGCGGACGAAGGATCCACGATGCCTCGGCTACGCGGCCCGTCTCCTGGCTTGCGATGTTGATGGCCAGGGGGTTGCCAACGTGCTCCCCCACCGGCACCTTTCTCGCGTACACCTCGGTGCCCCGGAACAAGAAAATCTGGGAATACTCGCGGCTGCCGTATTGCTGATACCCGAAGACGCCCTGCCTGGCGTTCGTGGAGCGGGCGGCGGCGATGGTGAGGGCCGAGGACGAGTATATGTCGCACATGCGCGCCGACTCGTAGAGCCAGTCGTTCTCGTCATCCTGGACGATGCAGAGGGCGTCGATCCAGAGATAAGGAATCCCGAGGTGCCGACATATTTCGAGCGCGTCCAATGCCGTCTTCTGCAGCTCTCCCACGGGAATGACCTCAAGGAAGGCGGACAGTGTCTCCTTGGTCGTCCTGAGCTGCGGCTTCTTGCCCCAGCAATAGCTCAGAGTGGCATACTGGCCAGGTCTACCCCCTGTTTCCACAAGGACAGGATCTCGACCGTCCCCGCCGACGTCAATGACGCGTGTGGGCATTAGCGTGTCGGAAGGCACCTTGCAGTCCTTATGATGTTGAGCGCACTCGCCCAACCAGCGTCTCGCCAGCTCAAGACACTCCGCACTACCGGAGTAATAGGAAACGGGGGTGCCCGTGCGGATAGAAGGGTGGGGAGACTCCACGCCGGGAGGCACAAACACCCTCAGGGTAATGTCATCTTCGTCCATGTCAGCCAGGAATGACACCTCCAGCGTGGTCCGGTAGCCGCTGTTGGGGAGATCAAGGTATATGAGGGAGTCCTCCTCGGCCTGGAAGGCATCTGCCAGCTCATGGAGCAGGAGGCAGAGGTCGCACGTCGTTGTCGCGGCAATTTCCTGGAGCCGCCCGAGGGTGGGAACAGGGCCTGTTCTGTCCATCAGGTCGTTGCATAGGCAGGTGTCCTCGGGGACGTCGTCCTTACGCTCCTCTTCGGACGCTATGCTAGCAGAGGATTGAGACATCGTTGGTGACTGGGAATGTTCTGTGAACGCGGTTATTCTGGCAAGCCGGATTGGCGCAGTATTCGCGAGATTTAACTCATTTTCAAAGCGGCTGAGTCGAAATAAGCACGGACGAACAGCACCCGTGTATTTCAGTCCGTCACCGCTGACCTCCTGGCCCCGCTTCCCATGACTGACGATCTGGGCCTACGCAAGCAAAGGCGGTGAGGCCCATCCCCATTGGTTGGTGAGCGCTCCTAGTGAGCGCAAGCCATGCACTTGTTGCTATTGACTTTGAGTTTTCCTACCCTCTTCCTAGTGATATAAAAAATGAGGATGGGTTGGAGACCTTGAGGAGCGAGATTAAGAAAAGGGAAAGGCAGGCACAGGGAGTGAAATTGGCCTCTCTAGGCTCGAACCTTGTCTTTTCCATAAATGGTTCACAGGTGCGACAAGGGCTAGGAACTGATTTATGGTCTTCCGACAAGACGACCTGTGACGAGCAGATGGGTGACGAGGGATCTGTCAACCCCGCGGGCGCCGCATCCTAAGGCGTCTTCTCAGCATGAGCGGTGTTGTTGAGGTGCCTGAAGGCTAACCCGCTCCTAGTTCGGTAGGAGTACACAGGCTTCATCAAGGCCGCAGCAGGGAACGACAAGCCCCCTTGATGGGTGAGGTGGAGAGGTGGTGTAGGGGGAGAAGGGGAGGAAAGGAGGCTAGCCGAAGGGGACATGAGGCGGGGGTGCACTCGGGAAGGATGGATGGGGCACTGAGCAGGGTTTGGAGGCCTTTTATTTCTCTCTCATTTTCACGCTATGTAGGAGCCGGGCGGCCGGCCGGAATTCACCTGTCGTTTAGCCTTCTTCCCTTAGTCAAAGCGGGTAGCATGTCGCAGACAAGGCCAAGTTTCGGCGTGCCGACGCCACTCCATAGAGCGGTGGTGTAGCTGCGCGGCCATGAGCGTCATGGCTTGGGGTCATGTTCTGTTTGCAAGAAGCCGCTGAGTAAACGCGTCCTCCCCCCTGACCTGTGACAAGTCTTCGATTCTTAGTATAGGTGAATACCTGTTCTGAGTAGGGCTGACGGCGGCTGAGGGGTCAACCTGTCGGAACGAAGCCGCCTTGATGGCTGGATTCAACGGACCTCGGTGGTTGATTGGTGCCAGCACTGCAACCCCTCTTCCTTACCTACTTAGTCCTCTCCCATGGCCATCAACAACAGCATGGTGGATCAAGCACTTTACCACCTTTCAATTCAATCCATTGCTTTGACTCGAAATGGCTTCTTCCAGCGCATATCTCAGCGGTCGTCGCTCTGCAGGTTCCAACACAACCTGGCTGAGTGGCTGAGTGGCTGGAGAACCACACAACTGTCTCGATATTTATAGATATCGAATGCAACAATGACATCAGATTGTTCACATCACCTATAACGTACATGATAAGCGAGTGAAACAGATAAACGAGTGAAACACTCTCCACCGCGTCGCGCATCCTCTAACCACAACCATAAATTCCTCTACAACGAACCATGGTCTCACCACCCAACAAAGCCAGGATTATTCTGGCACTCCAAGGTCTTAAGAATGACCATACTCTTGGTCTTTGGGCTGCAGCGAAGATCTTCAGCGTCTGCCCCGCGACACTTATGCGACGACGCGACGGCAAACCTGCACGACGCGATCTTCCGGCCAACTCGCGCAAGCTCACAGATCTGGAAGAGAAAGCTATTGTTCAATATATGGTCCACGGCCCACGAGGGCGCGGTTTTCCTGTATAGTAAGTTGTTGAAGGTCCGGCAAGCCCAAGGGCACAGCGGTGTAGGAATAATAATATATACGCGACCTACGAGGCAGCCCCAAACCTACTCTCTGGCACAGTTGCCAAAGCCACTGCCCCCACTTCGTTCAACTTCACCAATGGTCAAGAGGACGACGATGGCTA